CCCCCAACAACAAGGAAAGCAGCCTAGTGGGAGCAACCACATCTGTAGTCTATTCCACTCATTCTATTGTTCACAGTATACAAAAAAACCCCTCCAAATCAAATCCCAAACAAAACTACAGGGATGTAAACAGGTTCTGAAAATAAAAAGCACGGAAATATTCGTCGCGTGCGCACTGACTGACATAAGAATACAGTGAGACGAAATTATATATGTTTGTTTCCCTCTAGTACAACAAATGTTGGCCTGCCCTAATGGCAAGTTGGCCTGAAAAACCGGAAAAAGCCGGAAGATTTACATCCCAGAAATGAGGAAAGCAGCCTGGAGCGAGAGCACCCACCTCTGTAGTCTATTCCACTCTTCTATTATTGTCCACAGCATTAACACATTACACCCTAACTCGCCCGGGAATTCCCTTACGTGCTCCACCCCGACTCGCCCGCGCCGATCTAGCGTCTTTAGAAATGAGGTCTCACCTTGACGAGACTCTGGGGCCGAGATTTTGATTTGCATAGTCATAGCAAAAAGTTTCTTCTTTCGTTTGATACCGAAACAAAATTTTTCAGGCCAGTAGTTTTAGTATTAGAGCTGATCCAAGTGCGAGCGCATTACCGACACTTTGAAAGTGTCTCAACTTGTTGAAAAGCGACACAATTGAATTAGAAAACGGAAATAACGATGGATTTGAGCAAAAACAAGCATGTGACAAATCAGATGGCTCAGATTTTGATGAAAACGTTGTAGCAAGAGTTTGGGGCGATTCAGATTGATCAGACGTAGAAAATCTAGAATAATTTAGATCTAGGGCCGGACCGCGAGGCTGAGAGTGAGAGTGACAGGTTGGACACCCCGATTGAACTAAAGTTGGAACATTTCCAACAATTTGCGCATACATAAAGTTATATTTTTCTGAAACTACATTCAGTTTCCTCTTTAACTTTTATTTTTTCAGGATTTTCGGAACAGGTTTAGTATTTTTAAAATGTGTTTTTTTTAACCCCTTGTATTCACGGGAGGTGGGTTCCTTCCCCTTGCTTAGGATCTAGGAATGGACTTCCCGTCCAGGCCCTTAGGGTGTAATGTGTTTTTTAAAAAAAAACCCAAAACAAACCCCAAACAAAACAAGGAAAGCAGCCTGGAGAGAGAGCACCACCCACCTCTGCAGCCTGTAGGACTGGTCCTGATGTCCCTGCAAGCTGATCATCACGTCTGCCTCATCCAGGACAAACACTCGGATCAGCCGGATGTCAAACGAGCGAAACTTGAAGGCCCAGTCCACCACCGTGCCGGGGGTCCCGATGATGATGTGGCTGTTCAGCTTCTCGCCCCGGGCCACTGGTTCAAAGCAACAACAATCTCACGTTATCAAAAATATTTTCGACGATGTACGGAAAAGTGGGAAGACATGGAAATATCAAGAAGCTAGTCCGGGATAGAGAAAGGTGGAAAGTTTTTGTTTGTGGTCTATACCCTGATCCATGGTGAGAAAGGCAGCGATGTTGATGATGATCAAAATGTCAGTGCAACTTTTAAATATATATATATATACAATGGAAATTGTCCAAGATGACCGTCTCCTTATTTTCCTTTATCATTCTTTGTTAAAATTAACAGAATCGCATAATTTCACATTTTTGGGCTCAGTTTGCATAATTTCATAATTTTTTTGGCATAAAACCACGGGGACAAGATAGCACTGTACGAGTGATCTGATTGTTTCAGATCCCACAGATGTGCATTTGATGAAGACTATCAAAACAGTACCCTTATAGAAATTTACGGTCTGGCATGCACATAGTGAACACCCACACAAGCTGAATACATTTTCAGGTCCCAGATTAATTTTTTTAAACATATATATTCTTTTGTTTGTTTTTGTTTTTGTAAAGTGTTTTACGGCGCTCGCAACTGCATAAGGTCATATGAGCGCGCGGGACACACCTGATATTTTCAGTTGGTAGGAAATTTTGAATTTTGCCCGGGTGGCGGCCGAAGCCTATTCTTATCGGTTTTAGACCACCAAGGGATCTTTAACGTGCGCAACTTGCACACGGGCCCTCCGAGATTTTTCGCCCTTGTCCAAGAAGGCTAGGTGTAGATCTTTCCTACCAGAAGATCAGGGGTGTGGCAGAAAGACAGCAGTAAGGAGGAGCCAAGGAGTAGCAGTAGAAAGGCTGCAGAAAGAGTCAGGAGCCCAGAGGAGGGGGCAAAGGAGGTGAGGGGGTGGGGGAAGAAAGTGGAATTGAAAGCAGACAACAGAACATTGCTAGAGAGCAGGAAAGGAGGTGAAAGGAGACAATTTTAGAGAAGAAAATTTTTCGGTCGCTACCCGGATTCGAACCTGGGACCTTTGAATGAGAGAGGCCAACACCTTAACCTCTAGGCCACGAGAGCCCCCATATATTCTTTACTTTGTAAAACATGTATATATAGCGAAACTAATACATCATGAGGGAAAGATTTCTGCACCATGCCAATTCTACATGTATATATAGCGAAACTAATACATCATGAGGGAAAGATTTCTGCACCATGCCAATTCTACTATGTCCATGCTAGACTCATTTATATTGAGTTTGGAAGGTGAAACAATTTTTACAAAATTTTTTGTTTAAGGAATGTCAAACAGTTGACAAAAGCCAGTATGGAATCTTTTAAAATCTCAACAGCTTCGCTTCTTCCCATATTGCCCACAATACCAACCTCTCTCTCCTCTCACGGCATATGTGATCTGCAAACCTTCCATATGTTTGCTCATTTCTGAGGTCACCTGTCCAATCTGAAGTGCCAGTTCGTAGGTCGGGGCCAAGCATAAACACTGAAAAAAAAAATCATAATCATCACTAAGTGCCAGATTTGAAACAGGACATCGACGATCATGGTTCTTCATCCATTTCTCCACTCTGATGCTCTAAAAAAAAATCCCCCATTATTCTAGTGCTTCCCTTCCCTGTCATCCATCTGTTCAAGTTTTCCCACCAGGTTCCTATGGGTCAGCCCTCGCCTCATTTGACAATGACAATGACAATCTTTATTCATCTCGCAGGGAGAAATTTGTCTTGGTCGTTACAATGGCAGTAGACGTTACAAAAGTAAGACTTAAAGGTGCACTCACGCAAACGCACAACAAGACAGGACATTAGGCCAAGTAAATACACGTCTCACGGGCTGGGACAACCCGCTCCGTAAAACATTCATTCTCTCTCTCATTCTCTCTCTCTCTCTCTCTGTTTCATTTGTTGCCTTCCCTTTCCCTGTGAGAGCAAGATGTTCAAAGCCCATATGTTGAGTCAAGCATTCCACAAACCGCACTTGTTGCTTCGTAATTGTTCTCATTAGTGAGCCACCCACCTGGGCTTCTGTCAGTACTTCTCTGAGTACTTCCTCGTTTGATTGATTTCTTTTCTGTCCTTGAAATTCTTTATTCCCCAAAGAAACTACATTTTTGCTGCTTCTATTTTAATTTCCATTAAAAACATAGATATGACACCC